TTATAGTTTAAACACACACACACACACACACACACACAACCCAAATTGGTTACCTTTAAAGAGTAACAGGGGAATTCAAATTCATCATCTTGAAACCTGGGGAATGAAAGAGTCAAGCTGGCCATTCCTAAGTGGACTGTCTCTCTGGGCAACCAAATGGTAAATGCAGAGATGACTTTCCTAATGAAGTTATTTCAGCAAATAAATCAAAACCAAACAATCCAGTTGGAGTATCCTGTTTTGTTACCCCAGGAAATGAATGGATCTAAGCCTTGGGCATCTGCGGGCACTAACATCAAAAAAGTGACAGCCAGCCTTGTAGACATCTCCCAATGGAAAGACACATGACCATTTGTAGCCTTGCTAAAGGAATGTGACTGAGTCTGGTCAGGCCTCCGGCTCCAGCTGCCAATACACAGGGAATACAGCTGGCAGGGCAACAAGTTGAACTCTCACAAAAATGTATACAGAAAAGTCCAGACTGAGAAATTTTGGTCAAATGGTTCAAGTTCTTCAACAGATACATTGTAAAGAAAAGAAAGGGTTGGAAGGGGAACCTATAGATAGAATGGGAATGAAACACATATCAAGCTGAAAACCTAAGGACGAAACTAAATTGTAGTATCTAAGAGTGTGTACTTAGGTGCTAAACACGAAGAGACTCAAGGAAGGAACCACTGCACAGTCAGAAGGGAAACGTTTACCTTGGGGAGGGGGGATTGGGATGAGGCACATGGAGAGGCTTCTGCAGTGTCTGGCAAAATTCCATTTTTTGATCTAGGAGGTGGTTAACAGGATGTTTGCCTTAGAAAATGATTCGCTAACTACACATGTGCTTTGTGTCCTCTGTTTAGTTTTACATTTTTAAAAGGCTGTGATAGGGCTGTTCTCAGGTTGCTGTGGGAAGCCAGAGGATGCACTTAATCTCTAAGGAGAACAGATGAGGAAAGGCCCTCTGTAGGTGTTATCAGGAGAGTGAGGGGAGGGGAAGAGGAGTGTCAGGGATGAGGCTCGAGAAATAGACAAGCTTGTGACCTGCCTCCTGGACTAGGCTTTATCCTAGAAGCCATGGGGAGCCACTGAAGAATTTTACACCAAGTGGCATGACCAGATTCATATTATAGCAAGATTCTCCTGGCAACTGAATGTCATATGATTGGATGGAAGTGGGACCAGTTCCAGGGAGACCAGTTAAGAATCTACTGTAATAATCCAAACTAAAGATGGTGAAGCCAGAAATAACACAGTGATGGAGGAAATGACTAATTTGAGAATTCTTAAGGAGGCAGAACCCCAGAGCTTGAGAGACTGCCTGGGGGGGAGGGGGAAGGAAGGAGAGAGAAAAGAAATCAAGGAGGTTTACTGAATTGGAGATGAAGTTTACATACAATAAAATGCACAGAATGGAAGCTATTTTAGATGTGTGCACCCGTGTAACTAACATACCAGTGAAGATATAAAACATATCCTTCACTCCCAAAGTTTCCTCTTGACCCCTGCTAGTCAGTCCTACCCATTGGCAAGCACTGTTCTGATTTTTATCACCATAGGTTATTTTGTCTGTTTCTGAACTTCACCTAAATGGAATCATACAATATGTAGTCTTTTGTGACTAGTTTCTTTTGCCTAACATACTCTTTTTGCAGTTCATCCATGTTGTTGTGTGTATCAGTACTTCATCCCTTTTTACTGCTGAATAGTATTCCATTGTATGAATTTACCACTATTTGTTGATCCACTCTTCTGTTGATGGACATTTGGGTTGTTTTCTGTTTGTTTGTTTGTTTTACTATTAGGAGTAAAGCTGCTGTAAACATTCTTACACAAGTCCTATTGTAGATGCACATTTTCACCTATCTTGGGTAAATATCTAGGAGTGGGAGTTGTGGGTCACAGGATAGGTGTATGTGTAACTGCAAAGGAAACTGCCAATTTCCTAAAGTGACTCTAGGATTTCATATTTCTGCCAGCGGTGTGAGAGTTGTAGTTGCGTCACATGTTTGCTGCTTTGATGCTTTCAGTGTTCTTAATTTTAGCCATTTTAGTGTGTGTGAAACACACACATATAGCTCATTATGGTTTTAGTACAAATTGAGTAATAATGAGTACTAATGATGTTGTGTGTCTTCATGAATTTATTGGCCATTCTTTTTTCCTTTGTGAAGTTTCTGTTCAAATTTTTGTGCCTAATTTTTATTGGATTTTGTCACTACTGAGTTGGCCATTCTTTTTTCCTTTGTGAAGTTTCTGTTCAAATTTTTGTGCCTAATTTTTATTGGATTTTGTCACTACCGAGATGTATGTAGGATTTCTTCATACATACTAGGTTGAAGCCCTTTGTCCTATGTATGTTTTATTGCAAATATTTTTTCCCATTCTATCACTTGTCTTTTCCTTTTCCTAATGGTCTTTTGATGAACAGAGCATTTTAATTTTGATAGACTAAGTTTTTTTTTAACGGTTAATACTTTTTGTGTTCTCAGAAATCTTTGCCTCCCCCAAGGTTGCAAATATATTTTCCTCTAGGAACTTTATAGATTTAGTTTTTATGTTTAGGTCTGTAATCAACCTTGAGCTAATTTTTGGTGTATGGTGTGAGGTAAGAGTCAAAAGTTTATTTTTCCCTTAGGTATCAAGTTTTTCCAGCATGATTTGATGAAAAGCCTTTTCTTTATCCACTGAATTGCATTGACGTTTTTGTCAAAAAATCAGTTGACCAATTTACATACAGATCTATGTCTGGACTCTGGTCTTCTTACGCCAACACTGCATTGTCTTGTAGCTGACATGTTGAGGGAGTCTAGATCATGTTGTTCTTTTTTTTTTTTTTTGAGTGTTAAATTTTATTGTAGCAGGCAGTTAAGTTACTGGCAGAACCCTTTGATCCTGTCAGGCTTGCTTTTATTCTTCCAATTTGGTTTTATTCCCATGGCATATGCTTTCTGAATCTCTGTGTGAACATGCCATATTCTGGGCTGGAATTCCACTGTCTCCCAGCTCTGTGTGAAGTCTGGCATCACCACTTACTCCATAGCAGAAAAAAAAATCTGCTAGGTCTGGTGAAGTCCTGCCCTGGGTGTGAGTGTTGTCCAGGTCCCAGCCAGGAAACTGCCCACCCAGCCTACCCCGCCAGCTCTGTGCCACTCACCGCTTCTAGCACCCTGCCTCGCGGATTCCAGCCGCTTCAGCACAGAACTCAAATCTGCCTGCTCAGTAGACTACACCCTGCTCGGCCTCCATCGCACTGCCCCACAGTAAGAAGGTGCCCCAGGATGACAGCTGGAGTGGTCTTGCACTGTCCCCATTTCCCTGCTCTCTGACCACAGTCCTGCCTGGCTTGCTGTTCAGTGCCTGAAAGCATGTACCCTGTCGCCTCGGGTATTTTGTGCAGCTTTACGGTTGATTATAACAGGAAGGAGAATCCAGGTCCAGGATTCTGTCATGGCCTGAAGTGGAAGTTGGGACTCTGGTTTGGATATGATGCTGAGTGTTTAGTATCTGTGGAACATCCAAGTAGAAATGCCGGGCCAGCAGTTGAGTGTTCATGTATGGAGCTTGAAAGAGACAGTTGGGGCTGGAGACTCAGATTTTGTAGTCCTGAATTTATACTGGTAGTTGAAGCCGAGGGAATGAATAGGATCACTTAGCTACAGGGTGGTCAGAGAAGGGCTAGAAGAACGTTCTTCTCCTTAAAAGCCTGAAGAGGTGTAGCTAAAGAAGTTGGGGGAGGAACAGGAGACACAGGTGTCACAGAAACCACCGTGAGTAAAGTGGCGTTCATCTGCGGGGCTCAGAGTCCAGCCTTTCCTCTGTACGTAATGCTCACCGGTCCAGAGCCAGCTTTTTTCCAGTGCTGCTGAGGTCTTCGTACAGTCTCACTGGGTGATCATGATACAAAAACCTACGTACCCGAGCTCTGATACTTACCTGTAGAGTTGAAGCCATACCTGTCTGGAGGAGGCTTAGAATTTCTCAGACATAATCACACATCTGTGCTTCTATCCTTCTCGGGGCTTAGATAGCTAACAAATGTGATCATCATTTTCATAGAACTGAGAGGGAAACCCGGGCCTGGTGAGGCAGACAACTTGATTATTAAAGTCAGTGGTGAAGTCTGCCCTGTTTCTAGTTTTAGCTTCTAGTTGTCTGGAGACTTTGTTGGGTTCAGACTTGGAAGTTGCTAGGTCATCTCTGTCCCCTGGTTTTTCAGGTGGGAAAACAGACACTGATAAATGAGAGAGCTTTAAATTAGACGTGAATAACAGAAATGCAACGAAGCCAGCTTAAGTAGCTGATGGGATTCAAACGGCAAGGATGAAGCTGAGCTCAGGAGAGACTGGAGCCATGACCTGGTGTGCAGCAGGGACACTGGATGCCCCTTGTTTCTGCCCTTTTCTCTGCTTTTTTCTGTCTCTGATTCATTCTCTCAGAGCACACCAGCTGCTTCTGCTTCCAGCCTCCCCCACCCCCAGAAAAAATGGTCACCAACAACTGTTCCTAAGTTTATAGCTTAGGAAACAAGCCATTTGTTCCCTTCTATTCAGGAAAGAGTCAATCTGATTGTAGAATCACAACTCATATTCCCCTGGAGAGCCTCATGGCCCAGTGGAGCCATCTGGAGTCCAGGCATTTGTGGCCAGGAGCCTGGGTGGTGCTGTTGTACACACAAGGCTGCGGGAAGCCCTACCTCTGTAACCAACTGGCGTAAACTGGTGGTGAGGGGAAGGTATTTTCCAGAAAAAAGCAAGGGGGCAGATGGCTGAGCAGCCAGCCCTGTAGATGTTTGGGACACTAGGGTTACAGCAATAACCAGCGGCAGAGCAAGGACCAAAATCCACAGCTCTGATCCAGCAGCAGCCTTTCCTGAGGCTGCCTCACATGAGGGAGGATTTGATCTGTAATGAGGACACATAGAGCTCTAGGACCGTAACAGCCAAAGGCGGGTGCCCTCTGGATTCAGACTCTTAGTTACGAGTCACACAAACCCAAATCAAACCAGCTTCAGCAGAAGGGGAATATGTTAGAAAGCCCTTGAGCCTTGAGGTGCCTCACAGACTTGAAGGAAGATTCCAGGGCATCTTCAAGAATCTGGAATCAGTACCACCAGGACACAGACACGTGTGCTCACTGTTTTTCTCTTTTTCGGTTTTCATCTTCCATCTCTGCTCACTTCTCTTTGGCTTTGGTGACACAAGATTTTCTCCACAAGCTGGGGAACGTGGCTGCCAGCAGTTCCAGGGTCACAGCCTTATAGTGTCTTTAAGAGAAAAGAGAGTCTTTCCTGCTGATTCCAGGTAGAAAGATCCCAGGGAAGGATTCTGACTGATTGAATGGAGTCCTGTGATTGGGTGGGCCTAGATGCTTGTTCACCCCTGGGCTCAGAAGGCAGGGGGTATTTTAAGAAGGGGCTGGTAAGCAGGGTAGACAAAAACCTCTTTTGTTTCGTATCAGTCTCCCAGGTGACCATGGAGGCCGGCGGCCTCCCCCTGGAGCTGTGGCGCATGATCTTGGGCTACCTGCACCTTCCCGACCTGGGCCGCTGCAGCCTGGTGTGCAGGGCCTGGCGTGACCTGATCCTCAGTCTCGACAGAACTCGCTGGCGGCAGCTGTGTCTGGGCTGCATCGAGTGCCGCCACCCCAACTGGCCCAACCAGCCTGATGTGGAGCCCGAGTCTTGGAGGGAGGCCTTCAAGCAGCATTACCTTGCCTCCAAGACGTGGACGAAGAATGCCGCGATCTTGGAGACCTCCGTCTGCTTTTCACTGTTTCGCCGGAGGAGGACGCGCCGTACCCTGAGTGTCGGGCCAGGCCATGAGTTTCACAGCCTAGGCAGTGCCCTGGCCATGGCCAGCCTATTTGACCGCATCCTGCTGTTCCCAGGTATGCATGAGGAGCAAGGTGAAGTCATCCTGAAGGTGCCCGTGGAGATCGTAGGCCACGGGAAGTTGGGCGAGGTGGCCCTGCTAGCCAGCATTGACCAGCAGTGCTCCACCATGCGTCTGTGCAACCTCGTCTTCATGCCGGCCTGGTTCTCACCCTTCATGTTTAAGGTGGGTGTGCACATCAGATGGATGGCCTCTCCCTTCCTGACCCTGGGCCGTGGCATCTTGTCAGTGGGTCTGTAACCTCTTTTTTTGTTGGAATTGAGAGTTGAGTCATTATTCCAATAACATACTCCTCTGAGTTCTGTACAAGTTGACAGAGAGGCCCAGGGATCAGTAAAGATCAACATTCTGCTTTATTCCTGGCAAAGCTATATTTTAAAACATGAGCCTTGGACTGGAGGCCCAAATTGCTTTGTACTTCTTCCCTTCCAAACTGGACCAACTGGAGCCACAGGTAGAGCAGCCAGGTGGGAAAGCCAGGTTCCGGGAGCAGGCCACGTGGTGAGAGGCAGAGAACTGGTTGGCTGTACCTGGCAGCATTCCCAGAGAAGGCCGAAGAGGGGAGGTTCTGCAGGCCAGTGACCTTCAGCGCATTAGCCCCATCCTGTGGAGGGTCAGTGAAGGTCTGGCTTTTGCCAAAGATGACTGGAGAGAGGGTGAGGAAATATCAGGACAACACATTCCTTCCAGGAACACAGAACAGTTATGTTCAAGGACAAGCATGTGTTGAGGTGTTGGTAGCTCCTGGCAGAACAGTCTACAGCTTTTACATTGCCTAGAAACTGATTGCAGTACATGGATTTTGTACCTGATCAACGAAAATTAGATTGCCACTAGTCTACCAATAACAACGAAATTGTCTCTCAGGTTTGTAATGATCATTATTCCACCAGTCATGTATGATGCACTCACTGTGTGCCAGGTACGTATTTTACAGCCGTTACTAAGATGGGTAGTGTCATGTGGCTTTAGAGGTGAGCAAACTGAGCCTAAACAAGGGTCTCAGACTTTGTAGGGGACAGAGCTGGGACAGTTATGGTAGACAGAGTAGATGCATCCCCATTTTACAGATGAGGGACACTGAGGCTCAAAGATGTTGAGTAACTTTCTCGAGTGGATGATTAGTGAGGTTAGAACTCAAATCCAGGCCTTTGATTCTAAGCACTTCTGAAATTACATTGTGCTGGATTGCCTGGGAACTTAAAAGGCTGCTTGCTATTTAGGCCTGGAATGTTTCAGAAGGACCGATGAGGTCCTCCTGTGCTGATCTGCAGACCTAGAAGAAGAGTTGGTTTCCAGACCCTTCATGTTTCAGAGGCATTCATTCTTAGAGTCATTTGTTCATTTCAGCCTCTGCTTTCCCCTCAGAAGTGCAGCCATAGATCCTTGAGGGATGAGCTCTGGCTGTAGACTTCTTTATAGCCTAGCCCACCATCTGGCTTAGTGCTTGGTGTATAATAATGCTCAGTCCATGATTGTCTCTTAAATAAAAACAGGACAAGGGGCTAGGATGACTTTGTCTGAAAAAATGCAAAGACCAGAGTGAATTCACAGCCATTTTCTCTAACTTCCAAGGAAAAACCTTAGGAATGGCTCTGCATATCTAGAGAGCTGGTATTTGCATGCAGAGATGACCAGGTAAGAGAAAACAGACTTAAACTGCAGCAAGAGAAAATTAGGTTAGTCATAGGGAAGAACTAGGGAAGCTAAGGGGAGTTAAGGTCTGGGACAGGCTCTCAAGGGAGGTCACTGCTGGAGAAAGTGAAAATTGTCCAAGGGGTGGGTATGTCTGGATTGCTAAATGAGATCATGAGACACTCCCTCATTTTAAGGTTCAATACGTCTTATGGAACTTGGTGTGAAATCCAGAAACAGCTCTTCTTAAGGAATACAGAATGGCCGGGCTTCTCTGTCAGGCCCGGAGAGCTGAGGGGCTCAGGGGAGCTGCGTGGTGGGGCTGCACGCCTCCCCCACCCCGGGGACTCTCTGCTCCTCCCGTTCCTGACCGCAGATGGTTAACAGCTAACTTTCATTGGGTGCCAACTTTGTGTCTGACTCTGTGCCTTGTGCTTTGTTAGCTAGTGAGCCCCATATTGCTGACTGAGAAACTGAGGCTTGGAGAAGTGATGGATTTGTCCAAAGTAATGCACTTGGAAGAGGCCGAGCTGGGGGCTGTGCCCTCAGCCACTGCTCAGCACTGCCTGCCCAGCCTCAGCAGCACACCGTGTCCCCCTCTGTAGGGACGTGGCCTGCTGTCTCTTGCTGTAGTTGTGCACTGGCACCAGTTCCCACACAGACTTCTCTAGCACCTGTGGCAGAGCTCAGGCCCTCCTGGCCCATCCGGGCCCGTGTCAGTCCTCCAGCTTTGCCCAGCTCTGCCCTGAATCCAGACACAGGCTGGCACTCTGTGGGGAGCCGCGGGGCAGCAGGCTCAGGTGGAGGCAGGCTTGCGGGGCCGAGGGAGGATGCGAGGGAGGATGCGGGGCCGAGGGAGAGTGCTTCGGAGAGTGAGACCTGGAGGAGCACCATGTGATGGGGCACAGTCTCCATGTGACCAAGACTCCACCTGGGACCCCTCACCTGCCAGAGGGCTTGGTGATGGTGGGCTCGCGTCCCAGCCAGCTCCTGTGTGTGTGAAAATCTGACGCTCTCCCCCTCATTTCTGATCATCCCTGGAGTGACATCCTCTTGGGGTTCACCTCCAGTATCAACATGTGTCAGTTCCATCTCACCAGCATCCCACTGAGCATTCAGCACCTTCCCCCTACTCCATTTCACCTCCCAGGCATGCCAACCCTGGCTTGCTCTCTGCCCAGGCAGACTGGCTGTCACTTTAATATGTATGATTTATCCTCACTAAGCACTTCATGAGTATTGGGGGAATTTACTTGAGACGAGGGTTTTAGGAAGGGCTCTGCTGCAGAGAGTGAACTTCTCTGCCACAATCTGTATCCACTCTTGTCCCCTGCCCTTTGGGGTTGGAAGGAGGGGTGGGCGGGCAGCTGCAAGTGATCTTCCTTATGCAGAGCAGCTCCGGGTTCCTCCCGGGCCCAGCAGACACGTGTCCTGGGGGGAAGGGAACTTGAGCAGGACAAATGGCTTCTCCAGGCTCCACACTCCCTTATGAGCAGTTAGAGCTCTGACTAGCAAAAACAAATCTTATCCCTGTTATACCCACTCTCTCTTTTCCCTTCCTCAGACAACTTCGGGTCATGTCCAGTTTGACAACTGCAACTTTGAGAATGGGCATATCCAGGTCCATGGCCCAGGCACCTGCCAAGTGAAGTTTTGTTCCTTCAAAAACACCCATGTCTTTCTGCACAATGTGCCGCTGTGTGTCCTGGAAAACTGTGAATTTGTGGGCAGTGAAAACAACTCTGTGACTGTTGAGGGCCATCCATCCTCAGAAAAGAACTGGGCCTACGCGTATCTCTTAGGGCTTATCAAGTCCTCTCCCAGCGTGCTCCCCACAGAGGACTCTGACTCTTTAATGTCCCTGGACCTGGAGAGCAGGGACCAGGCCTGGAGCCCGAGGACCTGTGGCATTGTCATTGAGGGCAGCCAGAGCCCTACCAGCCCAGCCTCTAGCTCCCCTAAGGCTGGCTCACAGGAGGCGGAGGTGGGCAGTGATGTGGAAAGGGTGGCCCGGACCCCAGACAGCAGCGACGGAGGCCTGAGTCCCAGCGGCGAGGATGAGGATGAGGACCAGCTCACGTACAGACTGTCCTACCAGGTGCAGGGCCCGCGGCCAGTCCTGGGGGGCTCCTTTTTGGGCCCCCCACTGCCGGGAGCATCCATCCAGCTGCCCAGCTGCCTGGTGCTGAACTCACTGCAGCAGGAGCTACAGAAGGACAGGGAGGCGATGGCACTGGCCAGCTCCGTGCAGGGCTGCCTCATCCGCAAGTGCCTCTTCCGGGACGGGAAGGGAGGCGTCTTCGTTTGCTCCTACGGCCGAGCCAAGATGGAAAGAAACGTCTTCCGGAACCTGACTTACGCGGTGCGGTGTATACACAATAGCAAGGTGCTGTCCCAAGGCTTACTGTGCAGACACGAGGCCTCACTGGGTCATCAGGAACATGATTTTTGAGTGGTGAGAGGGCTTCCGTGGCTGTGTGCAGGAGGGTTTTGATGGAGCTATTCTGTGTTTTTCAAAAAATCACCATCTTGTAAGCTTATAACACACACTCTGCCTCATGTCCCTCATCTGATTTGGACAGAGCAGAAACTGTTCTTCCTGTTTTACAGAAGAGGAAACAGGCCTAGAGAGGAACGTGACTCACTCAGGGTCACGTGGCAAGTTAGAAGCTAAATGGAACAAGGATTGGAACCCAGATGTCCCTCCTCCTTTCCCTATGTTATGTTGCTTCTCAAACATGTCACCCAGCTCTTAGTAGAAGGAACAAGGGCTCTTTAGCCTGAATCTGAGAAAATTCAGGGAGACATGATCCAAGCTTGTGTGGGTGGTTGAGATGGCTTCCCACATGAGGAGAGGGTCGCCAAGGAAGGTGGGATGCATGTGGTGAAAAGGAGGTGCAAAGTACAGCTTTAGGCAGCAGACGTTGTGTGCTAGGGCCTGGATGTGAGGCTGAATTCAGCAGTGTGCTGGGGATGGAGCGGGTGTTGGAAAATGAGCAGGGAGGTGAGCAGAAGCCACCTTGCCAGGGCTTAGAAAGCCCCGTGGAGATGTAACTTCATGCTAAGAGCAGTCCCTCCTACCACGGATGCCAGAAGCACCCTCGTATCTGCAGCCCCTTTGGGCACCGCAGGACAGTCTGCAGATCCTGAAAACAGCTGAGGATGGGAAAGGCTTCAAAAAGGAAAGACATGGTCTTCTAGAAAGAATCATGACATAGCTCCTAAGTTTGAGTCTTGCCTCTCCACTAATTCACTGTGAACGTTACCTTCCTCTTCTGTGAAATGGAAATAAGCACTCCTGCCCCGCCACCTTCACTGGGGGTTTGTGAGGATCCAGTGTCGTAATATTGGCAGAAGCACTTAACAAACTAAAGGGCATTGTACACGTGTCACATGTGGGTCTTGCAGGTCTCCAAAGGCTCCTGGAATGGTTAATAGCAATTTCGTCTTAATTATATTTTGTCCACTTCCAAAGAGTATTTCAGGTGGCATTACCCTGAATGCACAGTGTAAGACTGTGCTATAAACAGAGAATAAAAGATGATGGTCAGATAAAAGGGGTGGGTGATAGCTTTGCTTGGTCGGGGTACCATGATGGAAGGATGTGGGTTGAGCCCTCAGGAAGGACTTTCCTCCTTGCATGATTGTTAAGAGTGTGGCTTCTGAGTCAGATTCTGGCTCTGCCCCTTATAAGCTGTATGTCCTTTGGACTAATGATGCTACCTACTCCGTGGTGTGGTGAGCATTTGCTTTGTATATGTATATCAGGTGCTTAGCAGTGTGTCTGGTGCATAGCAAATACTCCATAACTGGGTTGATTTATTTGTTTGTTTGTAAAGACTTAAAAAAAACTTTCCTGGGGGATTGGTGCCTGGGCCAGGCCGTGCAGAAAGACTGGGAGTTGGCAGGGTGAATCTGTGAGGCACCGGAGGTGTGCGGGAAGGCCCAGATGCGAAGAGGACACGGGACATTCAGAGAGTTACAAGTTGCCTCATTAGCCGGAGCATGAGGTGAGGGCTGAAGAGGAGACAGGGAGGGGTCAGCAGGAGGCAGTCAGCTGAAGGACAAGTGTCCTGCTGGAGATCGGAGTTGTCCTGAGGACAGTGGGAACTCACTGACAGATGTCAGGCAGAGAATTGTGGTCAGATCTGCATTTGGAAAGCTCATTCTGTCAGCTTTGTAGAGGATGGAGTGGAGAGGAACAGGCTAGAGACAGAGTCCATGAGGGGCAGTGGATAATTAGGGTCCAGAGATGGAGAGGAGGGGAAAGGGCAGTCGCTTGGGGAGAGAGTAGCTGAGGTTATGTGGCCTCGATTTCTGGCCTGAGTGGCTGAGACAAAGGCAGGGAGTGGGAAGCTGAGAAGGTGAGGTTGTGGAGAGAAAGATGCTAGGCTGAGTTCTGGGCACATTGAGTTTGGAACATTGGTGACATCTGGTGACACGGGGCTGGGGCTTTAGAGAGCCATGTGCCCTGACAGGCAGACTTGGCAGCAGGTGGTAGCTGGAGTCGTGACAAGGACAGGTGAAAAGTTAAACAGCTTTAGTTGTAGCCCTCTTGAATTAATGCCCCGAGGGGACTTTTGGTAGGAAACGGACAGCCAGCTGTTCCTTGTGAGTCTCCAGAAGGGACCCTGAAAAATTGATCTTGGCTGTTTTTTGACGACAGCAATCCATGGTGTCTCATGAGTACCCAGCATCAGGGACACTTAGACGCCAGGTGGCATTAGTACAGGCGGAAGCTGCGGGCAAGAGTGCGGACCTTACTGAGCTGGTCCGGGTGCCCAGAAGCAAGGCCTTGATCTGGTGGCCCGGGGCCAGCCGCCCTGCCTCTGCCCTCTAGAACATCCCCACGAGGGTAGAGGCTGGCAGAAGGAACAAAGAAAAGTATCGCTACCTGTGATTTTTGTCTTGTTTCTTGGGTATCTGGTAATTTTTAGTTGAAAGTCAGAGATGGAGGTAAGTTGTGTCTGTGTGGGGAACCTGCGTGCCTGTCTCGCTAGGCTCCGGTTATGTTGTTATGATTATGTTCAGTGAATCACAGGCTCCCGATTCCTCTAGCATTACCATGGCTGGCTTGCCAGTGGGCTTCTCTCTGTTTTAGGTCTTCCTTTTGCCCCTGCTCCTCAGAGGGGGTCTGTCTCCGGGCTCTTGCCCCTCCCAGCAGTAGGCTGCTGCCATTTGTGGCTCCCCCTGGTTAGCCTGGTCGCATGGTGGGTGGCAGGGATTCTCTCGTGTCCCTGTTCATCCTTAGACTTAGGTAGGGGCTGTGTCCGTGGCTTTAGGACCTTGGCAGTGGGCCCTTTTCGGTGGTCCAGCCTCAACCTCAGCTCTGGGGAGGGGCTCTAGTGATCGAGGCCGAAGACATTTTCCTCCCACCTCCCCAAGTGGTAAAGCATTTATTGCTTTTCTATTCTCTTCCTTGAGAGCCGTGAGGTTTGCTGCCCTTCCCCCCGCTGCTTAGGGCTCATCCCCTGGGGAAGCGAGGGGAGAGCAGCCCCGGGAGGGGCTCAGCGCATCTCCCACAGCGGCTGTTGTGCTCTCCCCCGGGCGTCCGCCAGGAGGGAGGCTGGCTCCAGTCTCCTGTCTTTCTCTGTGAGCACCTGGAGAGGTTCATGGAGAAGTGAATAGATGTAACTGCTCCTGGAGCTTCTGTGCTCTCACACGAGTTCACACTTGGCCTTTGACAACGCATGAAAACCTTTGCTGAACCCTTTTTACCGGCTTGTATGGCACCTGAGTCTGTCCCGGCAAGTGTTCCTGTCTCGTGTCCTTGGAGACACCTGTTTCCCTTAGATTCCGGGCTGGCTGGTTGTTCTGCAGCCTCGGCTCTCTGATGGGTTCAAGGAAGGTTGTGTTTTTGTATCTTCCTGTTGTGAGTGTGGGAGCAATACTCTTTCCGACTTTCTCCATCCTAAGCAGAGGCTTCTCCTTGAAACTGTACTTCTGTTATACCTTACCCCTCCCAGAGTTTTATCCTAATGTAACATATTGTTAGTACACAGTTTAGCTTAACATAATACATATTTATTATCAATACTTAATTGTTTAAAATAAAGTCTAGATTTTTTGATATAATTATTAAGTACAAAAAGAAAATATAAGTGGCAGAACATCCCCTTAATAAGCTGTGTGCTGGTGCCTTGTTTTAAACAGACTTCCTTTTCTGTACACCAGCACATCTAATTGTCTCTTAGTTGGGAGTTTCAGTGGTTTTTCCACCCCAGAATAATACATCAAGAGAGATGGAGAAGAGGCATGAACAGGCGTTTGTCTTTAAAGTGGAAAGTGAAAGGGAAGGTGGGAGAGGAGAGCTGCGTGGTCCCTTACCCTCAGGTGCGTTCTCAGGCAGGTGAAGCTACGCACAGGCATGTGTGGAAGTGGTGGGTCTGGCACTTGATTCCATTCAAAGTAGTTGTGCCCTGGGGCCCCTGGGGAAAACTTCATGCAGCCCCAGTGCATGGAGAGTTTGCAGACCACTAAACCCTGTCTTCTCCAAGGGTTCTTTCCCTGCCATCATCCAGTTACTTGTCCTGCTCGGGAGTTGTGAATATGGAGCACAGGGCCAGGTTTCCATCCAGGTCTTATTAAAGACCCGGTGTGAGGTCGGGGGAGAGTCTGCAGGGCAGAGCTGGGCAGGATGCGGAGACGGTCCCGTTCTCCGAGCACACGGCGGCGCGTGGCTGGTCTGCGCCAGGTGGAACTGCGCGGACCAGATGGGAAGGAACAGACTCAGGTATTCCCCGAGCAGTTCTTATAAACACCTTTGTGACAGGAGAACGAATGGCTCTCTCTTCTCTGCCTAGATCATCATGCTCAGAAACCACATTCACCACTGCAGAGCATCAGGCATCTTTCTTCGCTTGGAGGGTGGAGGCCTAATCGCCGGCAACAACATTTACCACAACGCAGAGGCTGGCGTCGACATCCGGAAAAAGTCCAACCCTCTCATTCTGGTACTTCCCTCCATCTCCGTGCCCTTTTCACGGTGGCTCACCTTTTCTGAGGATGTTTAAGCAGATGTTGCTGTCTTGAATTGCTATTGCTTTCTGTCTGCCAGTGGTTCCTGCCCTTTTCTCTGTGTGTCCATGTGACTCTGTCTCTTTCTCCATGTAATAAGAGTGACTTTGGAGAAGTCACTTCCCCACGACGCTCCCAGTAAGGAAGCAGGACCAGATGGACAGGGAGATTTCACAGGGCCTTCCCTCCCTCAGGCCTGATCCACTCTTATGGGCTTTGAGTTTGGTAAGACAAGAGGTCTGACCTAAAACACACTGAGATCAAAAATAAAATGCCAAGTTAGTTCATTATTTACTATAAAAGGACATTTAGGATACTTAGTTCTGAAGATTATCTGTTTCATGGATATCATGAGGCCATAGTGAGTTTGAGCTTAAACTCAGTGTGAAAGCCACTGAAAATCCTAGAATGTGAGACCAGTGATATGAGAGATTTGCCCCCCTTTCCACTCCGGCCTTCTCTGAGAGACAGATTTCCCAGAAATTGGGAAACATGATGGACTTTTTATGGGCTTGGAAAAATAATATCCACCCTTAGGTGTAGTACTTACAAATGCCAGATACTGTTCTAAGCACTTGATATGTATTTTATTTCATTATGGTTTAATCCTTACGCAATCCTGTGAGATAGAATTATTATTATCCCCATTTTATCGATAAAGACACTGAGGCACAAAGAGGCTAGGGATCTTGCTCCAAATCACACATCTAGTGACAGAGCTGGGATTTGAATCCAGGCAGTCTGACTTAGAGTGGATGTTCTTAACCCAGTATAGCTAGACTGCCTTTGCAAATGCCAAGAAAGGCGAGTTCCTAACTGTATTTAAAAAGACACGCCTCGGCAGTGTCCTCTGCCAACCACTTCCTCTCACGCCTTCTGCTGTGTAGCTTGTATCTGATGCATGGCTTTGGCTTAGGAAATTATTGCTACTATTGCCAGAGAGATGAGAGCAGTTTGCCTTCCCAGGGACAGAGGGGACAGGCCGGTTAGCAGGTGGAGGGGGAGAGGAGGATTACCTGGCTTTGTGAAAGGACACGGGATGGGAACAACGTTACTTATACCTCTCTCCCCGCACTTTTCAGCCCTGTGAGGGACTGTAGGCAGTGGTTACCCTAATGAGTCTGCCAAATCCTCCAGGGGAAAATCTGGAAGGTTGAGTAAGAATGGGAGAGCTTGCAGCATGAAACACTGTAAAGCAAACTGGACTTTATTTTGCTGAAATAATTTTGGAAGAGAAACAGCTGGCTTCCTGGCTTAAGGATAAGATTGTGTTTAGGCTGTAAATTAACAATTGGAATGAAACAGTTTTACTATAACTTATTGTACCCTAAAAGTTCTGTCACTGTGCACAAGCAGCTAACTGACTAGGCAACAGAAAAACTAGGTTTCAGGTGCGGCTTTGCCACAGACATCCTGCGACCCTGGGTCTGTTTCCCCGTTTGCATGGAGAGGGATAGAATGAGTGTCTCCAAGGGTCCTCGTAGCTCATGCATCTTCTGTGACCTCATGCCTCGTGGGACATGGAAACCTAAGCTCCTCAGGACCACACCTTCCATAGCAACCCCCACCCCACCCTGAGTGAGAAGCCAGTGACTCCCCTATTCCCCGGGTGGCCCCTCGGGACTGCAGTTAGCCAATGTTCCCATGTGCTGGGGTTCTGCCCCCTCCTTGAGAAGCGGGAGCCCTGGGTGACATGGCCTCCCTGGATGATTGTGTGTTTTGGGGATTCTTCAGAGTCTCAGAAATTTTCAGTAGTGTGCATTGCAGATGAAGAAGGGCAGGAGCCCTCAGCAGTAGGGACCCACATGACTGCACCCCAGGAGGCTGGGCGGGGAAGACTCCTCTCTTGAGAGTCGCTCTCACAGGTGTCCACATATGCACCTGCCTACATGAGCACCTGCCCAGGAAGGGCAGGGCGGCTGCCTGGTCTATTCACTCTGTTTTGTGCTGGGGACCCTCCAGCGACGTGGCTTTTTCTGCTGGTTCATCCTGGCTCTGCTCTGGGGCAGCACTGAGCACACTGCTTCTCGGGGGCGTGTCTGATCTGCCTCCTGTGGTGTCTCACGTTCACTTGCAGTGTAACCAGATCCACCACGGCCTTCGCTCTGGCATTGTTGTCCTTGGCAATGGGAAAGGCATCATCCGGAACAATCAAATCTTTTCAAATAAGGAGGCTGGCATTTATATTCTGTACCATGGAAATCCGGTTGTCAGGTATGTGCCACTTGTACCCAGACCATCCTGCTCACCCTCAGTCCCTTCTTTCCCCTCTGATCTTTCTGTTTCCCTACTCCACGTCTCTGCTTCACTTGAAACTTTTTCTTTTTAATTTTTGGGGGGTGGTAATTAGGTTTATTTTTAATTAATTTATTATTATTTTTGGAGGTACTGGGTATTGAACCCAAGACTTCATGCATCCTAAGCACATGCTCTACATGCACTGAGCTATATCTCCTGCCAGTTTGAAACCATTTTGTTCAAATAGATTACTAAAACAACTGTACTGATGCAAGCAAAGCAGAAACAGACTTCATCAGTTACCTCACGTCAGTAACACCTCCTTTTGTGTTATTGTATCTGTGTTTTGTGCTTTTTGTGTCTATGTTCCCTTCCAGTTAACTATGGGTGGCCATTCTATTCAGCAAACTTACTGAGCACTTCTAATAATGACAACAAAGCTAAACAAGAGGCAGCTCTGATCCCTGGGAGGTTACTGTAGTCTGGAGGACACATGTACCCAGAAATAATGCTAAGATAACTAACTATAGCATGGAGAGTTCAACTTACTGGACAACTCCGGTCAGTTGATAGTGGCTACCTGGGATGCTGCGTTGAGATCCAGAGGCTGCATCTGATGTCAGCATTTATCAGTGGTGTAAGCTGTAGGTGGGAGGGGCCGTGGAGCTGCCCTCCCAGCTTCGTATGCGGCAGACGGTGATGAGTGCTGTCAAAGCCACACCGAGAGAGGGAACCGTTCTGACGAGGGGGCTGTGGGAAGGCCTCATTTGGGAGGTGGCAGTGGAGTTAGATTTTGAAATAGGGGGAGAGCTTGGCCTCTTATGGAGATGGAGAGTGGACATGCCTAGTGAAAGGAGCAGCATGAACAAAGGCAGCAGAGCCTTTGTTCAGGAGATTCGGGGTTAGCACACAGTCCACTGCAGCTCGAGAAAAAGTCCGACACCAGTTGTGACATTGGTATCCAACATCTTAAATCAGGTCTGTCCCAGGCAATCTTGGGTCCTGTGGTCACTGGAGCCTGAGCTTTTATATCCCTGTGGCAGTCCGACTCTGCCGTGCAGTGTGGTGGAAAGCCTTGGGCCGGATGAGGAAGGCCTTCTGTAGTCCAGTGAGGAACGTAGAGTTTATTCTGTCTCGGTAATGGGGCGTCATTAAAGGTTTTCAGCAGAGGACTCATACGGTTATGTCTGGGCCTTACAAAAGTAACTGGCATTAATGTGCAGCAAATGTGTCCTGAGGGTGTTTGCCCTGTATTATTCCATGTGTGCTTTTCCATGTTTTTGCGTGGCCTTTATATTTATCACTTTGGACAGTTTCAGAACATTCCATTGTTTTGCTATTCCCTCATTTTTGAACCAGTCCGATTACTAGTAGGCACCTATTTTTTCACCGCTATAGACAGCTTACTAAAGCCTTAGTAATTATAGAGCTCTTTTTCCATCTTTTGCATTATTGCCTTAAGAGTATGGGTTTGCATGTATGCGTATTATTCATTTAACACACATTCAAGTGTTTTCTCCATATAAGGTGACAGCAATTTAAAAAGTGTGTACAAAGAGTCTCTGCTCCATGGAGTTGACAGTCACATGTTGGAAACAGACAAACACACAGAGAGCCAGGAGGGAAGACTTACAAAACAAGTGCTTTAATAGGTCTTCATACAGGTGCCAAAGGAGTCCAGCCACGATTTCAGCTGAACAAGTCAGGGCAGGGCACGCTGGGAGCTGACATTTGAATTGTGTTTGAAGAATGAGAAGGGTTTCACGGCCACAGAAAAGGCATTCTGGGTCTGGGGCAGTGAAATTCAGGGTATGTTCTGGGAAAATGGTATAAATGTCTGGGCCTGTGATGTCCCCGGGGGGACTGAGTAGAAGATCAGCCTGCATTGGGGTTGATACTGGAGCACAGAGGACCTCAAACACCAAGAGTGGTAGGTGGAATCATGGCCCTCGAATATATCCATTTCCTAATCCTTGGAACCTGTGCATGTTGTCTTACAGGGCAGAAGAGACTTTGCAGATGTGATTAAGTTCAGGATCTTGAGATGAGGAGAGCATCCTGGATTAGCCAGATGGGCTTAGTATCATCTCAAGGGACCTTAGAAGAGGGGGGAGGAGGGGAGCTGGAGGATGAGAGCCCAGGAGGGAAATGTGTCAGAGAAGCAGAGATCAGAGTGATGAGGCCACGGGCCAGGAAGTCCGGGCAGCCCGTGGCAGCTGGGAAAGACAAGAAATGGATTCCTCCCTAGAGGCTCCAGAAGGAACATGGGTCTTGATTTAGCCCTGTCAGACCCAGTTTGAACTTCTGACTTCCTAAACTAGAAGAGAATAAGGCACAAAGTCTGCATAATTTGTTACAGCAGCCAGACACCCAGACCGTGTGGTGCCGGAGAACTGCTGAAGGGCATTGAGCAAGGAATATTACAACCAGACCAGGGCTTTAAAACATGGTTGCTTTGACGGAATAGGCTATGCTTTTTCTGTTTCTTTGTGAGGAAGGGTAGGGATCTGTGGGAGGGCACAGAGTGAACTGGGAGGTCCCCGAACTGACCTGGATGAGGCAAACCACAGCATGTTCTTTGGCCAGTGACAGTTATGTAACCTGTTGTGTTTTTCTTTTTTGCCTTGGCTGCAAGGAAGCACAGAACTCAAACTGGCTCGTCCGTAGTTAATATCCCACTCTTGGTTCTTGGAGCAATGATCTGTCCCCTTTTCCTCATGTTTTCTGGTACCTCTTCTATCTGTGTTCTGCCCACCCTGTGTACACACACATGCATTGTTTCTCCAAGCGACTGTGGATCCTTTCTGCAGGTAAGTGAGATCAGTGTTAAAAGCGTACCAGTCACGCATTTGCTGCTATGGCACAGGTCTCAGGAATATGAGTGAGGCATGCCCTAGCCCAGGGCCTGCATCTGACCCTAAATTCTACGAACCCATAGTAACCATCAGCTGACTGAGTTGTAATCACATCAAAGCAGATACTTCAGATCTATCTGAGGGAGAACATAAGGATGTTTTTAGCAGATAATTTCACTCTAAATTTCCAAAGTGCATAGTGTAGATGCATTGACATTTGGCTTCCCCAGCATCAACATAATTTGCTGTTTTTCCCCAAGGACATTAACCATTTGGCCCCCATCCTAGGAGATGGGAGGGCTTATTATCAGCCAGCTCCTACTCAGTGAAGTTCTGTGGGGTGCCAGGCCCTGTGTTCAGCCCCTTTTTAAATCTAGATTTCGTCTTATAAGGCATGCCATTATTTTATGTTTTCATTCAGTGGGTAGGCAACTGAGTTAACGGAAAATAAGGTAGAAAGTAAGCTGTTGGATACAAACAGAAGATGGTAGGCCTGTTACAGGTGGAATCTGATTCAGGCTTTGTATGCAGATCACTCCCAAACAAGCTTAACACAGGCTTCTAGGAATTCTTGACACCACCCAGACTTTCCCTGTTACCGTGCACCATGATGACGTTTGTTTAAAATGGTGTTAGTATGTGGACAATGGTCCAGAGAGGCCGCAGGGACGTGGTGTCGTTGTGCTTCTATGGCATAGTCGTAGGTTGTTTCTGGCCAATAATAACTGAAGATTGCTGACTACTTGGCTTCTCGGGCTTGGGGAGGTGCCCATGCCCCTGTGGACTTGAGCCCCCTGGGAAGTCCACAAAAGAAGGTGGTCACCTTGGATGGATGTTGTCTTTGATGCATGACGCTGGTCTGATCTCACCTTTTGTTTTTCTCCTTCCATTCTAGCCAGAACCACATTTTCAGGGGCCATGCAGCCGGCATAGCTGTGAACGAGAATGGCAGAGGCCTCATCACAGGTAGGGCTGGGACTGCCTGGAGCCGCAGCCAGCCAGGCGACCACAGCCGAGCCAGCGGCCCTGGCTTCCCATCCACCCAGTCCTTCACCTCGACAGACTGGCCTCCTTCATGCTGGCTAGCATCAGGGACGCCGGCTGCATGCACCGGCCATGCTTCTCAGGCAGGGAGGGAGTGTCTGCTCTGTGCCAGGCCTGGCGCTTACAGAATCTGAATGGGCGGCTCACGTAACAATGTCAGAAGCATGGATGCCACACAAACTCTCTGAATCCCTCCCCTTGGCTTTTGTACAGGCTTGTGCCTACTCTGGCACTCCATCCCCATTTCCCCTCTGCCTGGCCAGCTCCTACTCATCCTTCCAGTCTAACCCTAAGTGTCATTTCCTGAGGGAAGCCTGCCATGATTTCCCATTATATATAGACATACTCACCCAGTAGGCCTGCTCTGCAGGACATCGTACTTAATTTCTTGTGATCTGTGTAATGTCAGGCTCCTTTGCTGTAAGGCAGTACATATAAGGCGAGGATCAAGTCTGGTATATCAGTGTAGCCTCAGCACAGAGCACAGCCATACCTGGGACAATATAGAGATTCAGTAAATACTGGGCCAGTGAATCCCCCCGAATGAATCCAGCCTGCCTTCATTCATCAGACATTTGTTGAGCACACGCTGTGTGCAGGAGCTGGGATACAGCAGAGAACAAAACAGATGTGATTTCTACTCTCAGGAACTGACATTTTAAGATTGGGGAAAAAAATAAAAACTTTTTTTTTTCCAAGGAAAGTCATACCAACAGCTTACTCTCTACCTTATTTTCTGTTAACTCAGTTGCCTACGCACTGAATGAAAACATAAAATAAGGTAGTAGAGGAACTGTGTGGGTGTTAAGGACTGTGTGATCAGGCCAGGCATTTCTGAGAAGGTGACAAGTAGGCCAGAAGCTGAATGATGGGAAGGAATGCAGGAAAAGAACCAGGATCCACTCAGGGCCAGCTGTGGGGACAGACTTGATGTGCCTCAGGGGCCTGGAGGTCGTGCATGTGACTGCAGTGATGAGGCAGGAAGAGGCCAGGGTCTCATGAGCCATAGCTGTCGCGAGAGGCTGAGAGTCTCCCCTGCCACAGTGCTGGGCAGCCATGTCCCAGGAACCCCCCCAACTTCCTAACTTGTGACTCTTCAACCCACTAACCCCCAGAGTCGTGGAAGAGCAGGAGGGAGGAGGAAGGCTGTGGTCAGTCCTGAGTTGAGGCTGAGAAGGACAGGCTGAGGGGAGGGTATAGCTCAGTGGTAGAGCGCCTGCTTAGCCTGCATGCAGTCCTGGGTTCAGCCCCCAGTACCTCCATTAAAAATAAATAAATAAACCCAATTACCTCCCCCATAAAATGAAATTTTAAAAAATAATAAAAGCATTTTTAAAAATTTAAACAAAGAAAGAAAAAGAAGAATAAGGACAGGCCTGTGGGGAAATGGCTGGATTTGGCTTCAGCCCCCCGAGGACTGACCCCCACCAGGACAGGCAGCCCTGCCTGACCTTGGCCCAGGGACTCTAAAGCCAGTTAATGCTTAGTTATCAGTCCTCAAGGCCACTGGGTACAGTGGGTGCTGGGGATATAGGAGAGCACAGGACAGACACAAACCCTGACCTTGGGGAAGGCAGACAGCAGACAAGTCCCTGGAAAGTCAAACACCAGACAGGATTTGGGGTGCTGACTGCTGACAGGGGAAGGCCTGTGTGTCCTTTCTGGACTTTCCTTCCTGTCAGCTGTCCAAGTCCTAGTTGCCAGCTTGGTAAGTGGCCCTTGACCCACTTCTCTGCCTCTTTCCATAGAAAATGTCATCCGAGAGAATCAGTGGGGAGGTGTGGACATCCGCCGCGGAGGGGTCCCCGTCCTCAGGAGCAACCTCATCTGCTTTGGCTACTCAGACGGCGTGGTCGTGGGGGATGAAGGCAAAGGCCTGATAGAAGGAAACACCATCTACGGTGAGGGGCATGTTCCGAGGAGTGGGGGAGGTTTGGGCCCAGCCTAGCCTGGAGGCAGGAAGCCCAGGTTCCATCTCCAGCTGTGGGTCCTGAGAAAGTCACCACCTTTCCCTGGGCATCAAAGACCTCATCTAGAAGAACAGCATTGATCTCAAGTCACAGCCACGCAGCCCCTCTCAGAAGGCATGAGCCCCTCATAAACCACCCTCTGATCCAGATGACCCTGTGGGGTCAGCAAAGCAGAGAGCTTTATCCCCACTTAAAATAGCTGAAGGCAGGAGTGGATCTTGTGTAAGGATGGGGCCATTTATTTCTGACACGTGGACATCTGACTCTTCTTATCCTTTCTTTTGATCCAGAGAACTAAAATTATAATGGGAGAAATAGGGTAATAATAGAAGAAAACTGTTCTCACTCATTCTGGGACTTTGGGCAAGGCCTTAATCTCTCTGGACTGCATCTCTAACAATAGTAATAGCTAACCTACATTCAGGCCCTGGACTCTTGCTAGGCCCTTTCTATGTGTTGTCACATTTAATCCTCATGACTGCCTTCTGAGGTAGGCACAGTTATTAACCCCATTTTAAAGATGAGGAAACTGAGGCACAGAGAGGTTCAATAACCTGCTCAGGGTCACACAGCTAGAAGTGGTAGGGCTGGGGCTCAAAGTGAGGCTGCCTCCATCTGTGTGCAGGGAGGGGTTGGGCTGGATGAGCTCAGAGGGCCCCTTTGTCGCTGTCACCGTGGGCCTGTGTGCTTCTGATCTGGAAATGGGGCTTTGAGAGTTCCCAGATCACCTGTACACCCCATGGAGTTATTCTAGTTTCGAGACTGACCTGATTGGCATTACCCCTCTTGTATGAAGGAGAAGCCTGCAGCCAGGCCCTAAAGTGACTTGTCCAAGGCCATTTGCAGAGCAGGGACTCAGTCTCCCAGGCCAGTGCCTTTTCTGCTTCCCCTCATGGGGAGTCACTGGGTGCTTGGCATCAGTGACCAGCCCCTTTCGCTGTCCCAGCTAATAAGGGCTGTGGTGTGTGGATGATGTCGTCCAGCCTGCCCCACGTCACCAGCAACCACGTCAGCTACAATGGCCTGTATGGAGTGGCCGTGTTCAGCCAGAAGGACGGCTCTGGGGAGTTCCCTGGGGGCCACGGGGCCCAGGAGAGCTTCAGCGAGGACGGGGACGCCATCCTGTGGGAGACGGAGCTGGAGAAGGATGAGGACCCGCTGCGCCGGCCGGTCACCGTCGCTCTGGTCGAGTCCAACAGTGTGAATCATAACGGAGGTGAGGCCCCTCCCCACGGCCCCGGCTCCACGGCCTCCCATGCTCTCCCTGCCGTAAGGCACTTCCAGCCTCGTCGGCCACTTCCTTCAGCCGCTTAACCTGGTACCCCAGTTCAGGGTTTCCTCCATGTCACCATGCTGTCCAGTAGGACAAGCAAAGCCACATAAATTCACAAATACCTGATTTATTTTCGCTGTTCTCATCCAAGCCAGGAGAAGCAACAGGCAGGTGGCACCAAAAGGCTCGGCCTTGCAAGCTCACAGCTCCCATGAGATTCCTCAGTGGTCGTCCTCCCCATAGCCTCCCCCAGCGCAGCCCGGGGCCTCTGGCTCTGGTGGCTGGTGGATGTCACCCCTAGTGGGTAGTCCTCACCCCCCAGATCTGCCTCCCATGCTGCTGCTTCCTGACCAAGTCATGTGGCTCTAAGCCTGCTGATTTAGTGCTTTTTTTCTACAAACATGTAGTGTCTCTAAGAAATTTATTACTTCCTAAGAAAAAGAAAATGTTCTAAAACAGTGGGGAGGCAGATTATAGCTCAGTATGCAGAGCAAAACAAAACAACACAATTTTCTAGCAGGTGAGTCTGTCTGTTTAGACATGGAATGGGCTGCCTCGAGCAGGTAGTGAGCATCCCATCACAGGAGGTACAGATGGCAGCAGGATGAGTGTGTTGTGGGAGGCATTTGAGCACAGGTTGAGAGCCTGGGCCAGATGACCAGCTGAGCCTAAGGAATCTTCTCACATCATGTTTTGCTGGCTACTTTAATGAGGACTTAGTTCAGAAGGCACAGAGCTTCCTTGCTGTTTCTGGGTTTCCTCCTGCTCAACTTGGAAGATGCAGGGCTGGTTCTGCGTGTAACTACCTCTCTTCCCCCTGTCCCCCTCCTGGGTGCGCGACTCTAGGAAGGCTTTTCCTACTGGTGTTGTCAGCGCTGACCCTGGCCACCCTGTGCTTTCTCTGTTCCCTGTCCCCTCCATCCATAGCCTCAGGACTCTATGTCCAGAGTAGTGAGGCGCTGCATGTCATCACCAATGTGATCCATGCTAACGGGGACAGAGGCATCACTGTGGCCCAGAGCAGCCAGCTCACCCGTGTGGCCAACAACAGCATCTCCTGCAACCGCCAGAGTGGGGTCAAGGTCGAGGCGCAGTGCAAGGTGGAGCTCCGGGGCAACGGTATCTATGACAACAGAGGCCATGGCATCATCACCAAGGGTGACAGCACTGTCGTCATTGAAAATGACATCATTGGCAACCGGGGCAGCGGGCTGCAGCTCCTGCCCACGTCCGACACGAAGGTGTGTATGTGTGTATGATGTGTGTGCCAGCACAGGGCATGGCCTTCAAAAGCCCTCGTGCCCTCTCTCCTGAGAAGCAGAACTTTAATCCTGCAGCACTCTGCGAGGGTGCTGCTAGAAGCCAGCCTGGGGGACACAGGTGGGCCTTCACTCGGGAGGCAACCTATGAACTGGGCCCTGAAGAATAAGGCTCACTGGCAGGAAGCGGGGGTCGGGGTGCCACCTGATGTGTCTTCAGGGCAAGATCAGGGCTGTTTCAGCTCTCTTTCCCTCACAGAACACTCTCACACAGGACCTGGTATGCAGTAGGTGCTTATGAGGAGAGAAGTCTTGCCTTGGGGCCCTTTCACACACTGTTCCCTGTATACCCGGACTAGACTTCTCCCCATTTTTTTAACTCAGTCCTACAGTGTGGCTGTCACTTTCTTCAGGAAGGCCTCCCTGACCCCGCAGGCTGTTTGAGGTGCCCCTTTTCTGGACTTCTGAGGTGCTTATGCCCACCCCCCTCAAAGAGCATTTCCCACAGGGCTCTGCTGTTCCTTTGCTTGTTCATCTTCCCACAGGACAGTGAGCTCTGACCTCCCTTTTCACGCAAAGCCCTGAGCTGGGTGCTAGAGTCTCAGTGTTGAGCCAAACAGACCCATTCCCTGCCCTTGTGAAATTTCAGTCACAAAGCCTCTTGTTGGCCTTGTGGCTTCATGAGTCATTGACTTAGGCAAGGTGTAACGAATTCCTCGCCTTTGCATCTGAGCACTGTAGGGGCAGAGGGAGAGGAGGGCTCGCTGTTGCCTCAGTTGGGCTGCCAGTGGCCCTAGCTTCTAGGAGCACGTCTCCTGCTTCCAGGCCTTCGCACATTGTTCCTTCTTCCTGCAACAACTCTCCCCTGCTCTGCTCCTGATAAACTCCTACATACCCATCGCCTCCTCCAGGAAGCCTTCCCTGGTTTCCTCTGGGCTGGTCTTGATAGTCCTTCCCTGAGCTTCCATGGCTCAATACTGGCCTACCTAGCATGCTCTTACCCCTCAATTTTATAACTGGTCATTCACTTACCTGGCTCCCCTACCAGTCTAGGAGTCCCTGAGGTGTGACAAGCTCTGACTGCCTCTCCCAGGTAATAAAGAACCGGATCCACTCATTCCGGGCCTACGGCATTGCAGTGCAAGGCCGCGCCAAGGTTCTGGTGCAGGAGAACATCATCTTCCAGGGCAAGACCAACAAGACCATCTTTCAGCAGATCTCAAACAACCGAGAATGCATCATGCAAAACAACAAGTTCTTGGTCTTCAAGAAAAAGTAAGTGCTTGGGGTTGCCTAAACCAATCTTCTAGGACCACAGTGAGGTCAGTGGGGAAGCCAGTCCCAGTAATTGGGGCTGCTGCTGCTCCCCAGTCCTGCCAGCTTTCAGCTCTGATCAGATAAAGGCCTGAGCTTGGGCTGTGTGTCAGTTCTGGGCTGAGGACCTGAGCCTGACTCCCTAGGAGGGAATAAGCTTTAAGAATCAGGAGTACGTGGTTTCAAATCTCACCTCTGCCAGTTACTGGCTGTGTGACCTCAGGCAAGTTACTCAACCTCTCTGAGCCTTTGTAAAATCCAGTTAATCTTGTCTGCTTTGCAGATGAAATAAAATTATGTGACCGAGCAGCATACCTAAAGTGTCCGTGCCACTGCCACGGTTGTCCCTTGTTTTTCATATTCCTGTCTCAGCATATAGCTGCTTCACACTCACCTCTCCAAGCCTCTGTCCTGCCCGGTCCCCATTTTCATGGCATCACCATCCATTCTGTTCTGGCAGCAAAATCTTTGCTTCTCATTCTCCCTGACACCAAAGTTCAGTCAGTTACCAGTTCCTCTTGATTGTGCTTCTAAAATGTTCTTATACCTGGCACCTCCTCTTCCCAGCTGCCAGCACCCCTCTCCCCAGCCCATGACCCCTGTTACCAGTGCAGCTGTTTCAGTTGTTTATGGGTGGACTCTGTTCTCATTGGTTGATAGTGTGCTATACTGGTTGCAGAAATAATAATAACTAGCGTTGTTGTTGGTATCACTTCTGCGCCGTTCATCCCTCTGGTCCTGTTGCAGCAGCTTCTTGCTGGTCCCCCGGCCCTTAGGCCACCCCCGATCCTGCCGGCTGTCCTCTGCATCCTGCCAAAGTCATGTCTCTAAATCAGCTCTGGGCGCGTCACATGCGTGGTCAGAAACCTCCGGTGATTCCTCTTTTTCTGTAGTAACGATCTCTGCTCCTTTTTATTATACACTTTCTCAGTAAAGTATATTTTTTGAGGCAACCCCTCGTATGTATGCTTATATATTCGTAACTTAAAAATATACAGTAAGTAGAAATTCTAATATTTTCTTCCCATATCCCAGCAGCTCATATTGTGGACTCCGTAGGGTCCACTCCCTCCTTCCCCTTTGGAGACCCCGGGATTCAGGGTCCAGCCCAGACGTGTCAGCCTGGCACTGTGCACTGTGCACTCCTCGTTTCCTCTTTTCCTCACTCCTCAGGATCTCGCTCTGCTGCCAAACTCAAACGCTTGCAGTGCTTTGAACATACCCTGGGCTTTTACTCACCCCAAAAAGCCAGCCTCTGACTCTACCCACACCTCTGCAGTCCTGCTCGTTATAGTAGTATCATAAAAATACGTAGAAGACTTTGTTTCTGGCTTAAGAAACTCGGGATCTGATGTGTGTAAGAGGCAGTTCCTTATAACTTAGGACAGGAAGCCTAATCAGAGCTTCACTATCATTTTGATTTTCCCCGACCCTTCATAATCTCTCCAAGAGCTTAAGGGACTGGAAGCCTGCCAACTTCCATCCCCGGTAGATCTGCATGTTCCAGAGTGTCATATAAAAGAAAGAATACAGGGTGTGGTCTTTTGAGTCTGGCTTCTTATACTTCGCCCAGTGCATCTGGGATTCGCCTGTGGTGTTGCATCTGTTGTTCATTCCTTTTATCACTGAGTGGTGCTCCATGCTATAGATGTACTAGACTGTTAATCTATGAGTCAGCTGAAGGGTATTTGGGTAGTTGCTAGTTTTTGGTGATTATGAGTAAAGGTTGCATACCTTATGAGTAAAGGCCATCGAGCTGGGTAAAATTGGGGGAATTAAAGAAAAAGAAGAAAGCCACTGGTCTTATCTAGATCCTTGTTTAAAGATGGGGAAATAGGACAAGAGGGGACTTATCTGAGGTTACGTGCAGAACTGAGGGCAGGGTTAGAACCAGAATCAATTTCACACACGTCCAACCTCCTTTTGCTATCGCTTAACTAGGGAGATGCAACCTACACCCAGATTTAAACCTCTGGATCTGGTGATCTTGTGCCAAAGGTAATGTGCAAGGCATTCAGCAAATGCTCTAGACACTTTCAAATAGTTCACTCTCATTTTGCATCTCCAGGTCTGACACGTGGCGCCTGGCGAACCCACCTGCACGGCCTCACCTTGAAAACTCTCTCCGAGGCCCCTCTGCTGCTCATGGTGGGCAGAAGGTGACAGCCATGGCGACCAGGATCACAGCCCATGTGGAAGGTGGTTACCACAGCAAACGCAGCATCTTCTGCACCATCCTGTGAGCAGGCAGAGCCACGGAGTGGGGAGGCTGGGGGTGGTCCGAAGACTCGGGGAAGCCAGCACATACGCTGCTCTCAGGCTCAGCCCTGCCCAGCCGAGCTAAGTGGGGTGCAGCCTTCGGGATGAAGAAGTCATGCTTAGGAAGGCTCCAGACCCCTCTCTGTCTTCTTACCACCTCCCTGAAAAAAAGCTCCCAAGCCTTCTGGGGACTAAGAACAAGGTACCTACAAAACACTTTAATTCTACAACCCTCAGCAGGAAGGAACTTGGAATTATTTTCCAGAAAGAAAAAGGGAACAGAGTTTGGTGGGTTTCCAGTCCCTCGAGCTCTTGTAGAGATTATGAAGAGTTGCAGGAAATCAATACTGAAACTTTGGTCAGGGTTTGTGTATTTGAGTTACAGGGAACTGCGTTTTACACACACCAAACCCAGACTCTTCTCAGGGAAGAAAAGATTTACTTCTAAGAATGGGAGGTGATTCTAGTGAGATGGAAAGAGACAACTGCCCCAGAATTTTCCCCTTTCCTAGACCCTCCAGGGACACTGCCACACCCTCCCTGCTGCCTGGAGAGGCTGGAGTTGGGTTCGGTTTCTTTAAGGACACAGTTCTCCTGGACATGGACCTGTAAGGGAGGAAGGGGACTGGGATACGGAACCCCTCTTGAGAGGCTGCCCAGGGATGATAGGGGTGTGCTGAAAACAGGAGGGGGCGTGTGGAGGTTTCCTTCGAGTGGCTCAGGTGTGCAGGCAGGTGCTGGGCCGACAGCACAGGGAACCTACCCTCAAGTTGCTCCAAACTCAGGAGGATGTTCGTTAGCTCAGTGCCTGCTGCACGTACAGGGAGGGTTCAAATCCCACAAGCACACTGAGACCAGCCGCCCCTCCTGAGCACCAGACTGGTGGAGATGGAGGTGCCTAGGGCCCCCATCT